GCTGTGTTTTTCAATACAGAGGTGGCTCCGAACCTGGCAAGTCAAGCTCTGGGGAACGACCGTTGCGGAACGTCCTCGCGTCATTCTCGGATCATGCCATTGCTATGACGATATATCGGTGTACTGCAGCCCCCGGTGGCAGTTGTTCCACCTTGTCCAGGCCCTGCCAGAGGTGCTGGGTGAACCGTTCCTTGGTCTTGCCGAAAGGCATCGGTCTGCGTGCGTCGCTGTGGACCGCGCACACTCCTATGTTTGCTATTAGACAGCTGCTACCGCGCAGGAATCTTTGCGCTGTGTGGAAAAAAGGATGCGGTGAGTGGTGAGTCGTGACGCATCGGCTGCGCTCTTGGACTTCAGTGCGTCGCTGTGAGCCACCGATGAAAAGCAAAAGAAGAAGCGAGAGGAACTCGTGCCAGTGCCACTGCGTGCACAGTGCCAGAGCGAGTACGCCGTTGTGGGCTGGCATGTGCGAAGGGACACTCCTATAGGCCAAATTGTTATAGGAGACTTCCGCCGCCGGCTTGCTAGTGGTAGAGTGGTAGTGTGGTGGTAGTTGTGGAGAGAACGCGCATAAGAGCGCACTGACAGCTTGTAAAATGAGAGCAATCAAAGGGCTGCGTCTGCCACGCAAATCTGCGCTTCGAGGTGGAATATTTTGGACTTCGACAGAAGGTGCTCGGCCCGCCATGAAACCTGCACTTCAAGGTTCAAAAAGTGCTGCGCTTGCCTGCCACAAAATCTGACTCACATCGCATCACGCATCAAGAAGCACTTCCACAGACCACACCAAAATGCCAAAGCGCAGCTTTCGCTGGATACGTCATCTCTGGCTGGGCTAACATGGTGGGTAGGCCAAAGGAAAGGCTTTAAGCAAAAGCGGCAACAAGGAGCAACATTCTCATAGGCAATGCTTCTTCAACTCTCTTTTCGCAAAGCGGCTTCATCCATGAGGTGGGCAAAAACCATCAATGGTGCCAGATATGTCAACCGGACAGGCGTATAGGCGCCTGCGTGCAATCTTAATGAAAGCTTCGGCCCCACATCCTTTCGTGGCATCAATTTTTCGCCCCGGGGAGGCGCGGGGTGGAAGCATGATAGGACAAGGCCGAAGCAGAAAATAGACTATACGGCGAACAGCCTTATAGGCTATCCAAACGTCCTTTCAACCTGTGTTGGCTGCTTGTCCCAGCTTGGGCGCGAGACAACCTCCATATCAAGCTATGCATTCTCAACTCTGTGTGATTCCCCACACAGTGTGGTCACACCATGTCACACTAGGGGTTCTTACGTATGGT